AGCTGAGGCTGGCTCATCTCCATGCATCAAATACATATATAATCTTTTAGATGGACTCACGCATACATATCTCCATATTTTACTGTGCTATTTTTAAAATATATTTTCTTAAATTATAACCCCTACGTTTCTCACATTTGACATTTATTTTTGCTGGTCACTTTTTCAATATTGTCACTTGCATTTGGGGCCTCACTCTCACAGATACAGTTTTTCAGACTCTATCCTTTTGTGTTTCTTAAAACCGACTATCTGACACTTGGTAATTTATAAAGAAACAAAGTATCTTTTACAGTTCTGCTCTGGACCTTGGGCATTCCAAGGTCAAGGGGCTGCATGGGGTGAGGCCCTTGTTTCTGGTGTGGATTCTTGGCAGAATCCCAAAGTAGTGCAGGGTATCACTTAGGAAAAAAAGGTTCACCTGTGAGCCCTGTATACCACCATATCAGAAATTCTGTAGCTGAGGAGGACCTAGCATAGGGGCATGGAAAAAGATAATTCTGTATTTTAGAGAGGAACCAGGAGACTCTGGGTACCAGGGCCAAGTGAACCATGGGTTTCAAGTTGAGAAGCTAAGATTGCTGTTTTGAAGTGGAATTTGAAGTTAGTATTTTCCTCTTCTTTTTGTAAAAATCATTTTAAAACAACAAAGAAAATGAGAGGTGTTCAGGAGACTCGATTTTTTATGAGAGTACATCATTCAAAACTCTGGTACATACTGCTAAAGCTTTCATGAGCAATGAATTATCAAGTGGAAGTGCTTATTTCAGAATTTGGGAAGACAATACAAGTGGATTTTAGGAGTAAAAAAAAAGCTTTTTCAAAGGTGGTGGGCATATCCTTAGTTGTAGAAACAAATAGTTTAGACCAGCTGGAAAAGTGTGTCTGAATGGGTGGACTGAGGTTTCCTGTATAGTAATGGTTCTGAGAAGCACAGGAAGTCAGGTTTAATGAGTAATTTGTGGGTGGCTATGCTTAGAGTGGAGAAAAGTAGATTTTATTATTTGAAAAACTTCCACATATACCTGTAGCCCTTTCCTATGGAAGAGTAAAAAGTATAATAATGTGAATGCAAAATTCTTAACCTAAGTCATTTTCCTCAATATGTAATGAAAAATTGGCTTGCTCCTGCATCTGAAAGTAGCCAATGAAGGAAAATGTAGCCATATTCAAAACAAATTAATGAGAAAAGAGCAGCAGGAGACAACCACTATTGTTATAAAAATAAAACAGTCTAAAAAGTGTAAACAAGTGGAAAGTGATAACCAAGTATTTCAAAACTACAATTAGGAAGATGGTAAAACTTATCAAATATTTTATCTTGACTTAGAAAAGAAAAAA